GAGAGAGAGAGAGAGAGAGAGAGAGAGAGAGAGAGGAAAAGTGAGAAAGCAAGTCCTAGGTCCAGGACTCAAACAGCAGTCAGCCATGTGGGAGTCCAGTGCCCCTAACCACCATGCCATCTGCTGGTGTATATATATATATATGTATATATATGTATATATATACATATAAATGAGAGAAGAAATATAATAGTTCTACCCTGGTGGTGGTTATGTAAAAGTGAGTAAATACACGCACTAATGTGTGTATATATGTATATACAGAGAAAGAAACAGAGAGACAAGGATTAGAAACAAGTTACAACTGTGTAAATAGAAATCAATATTCACTGCCACCCTTCCTCATTTAGTAGAAGTGCTAAAACTTCTTACAGTCCAATCTACAATGACGAAATTAGTGTCCACTTTTTAAAAAATCTTTTTCCATATAAAAGAAATATGCTAGTTTTCAGAAAGTAATAGAAGATAATGACGCATCAAGCTTAGACGACTGGTGGGTGACAAGTCATTGCTGGCTTTTGCTCTTACTTGCATGGTAGCTTCATTAGAAGAGAGGACACCGCGCAGTCTCTCTAAGTCATGATCTCGCTCTCGCACAGCAAGATGAAGCTGACGCAGTTCTTTTTCTTTTTCTTCTAGAGCAGAGAACTTTTCATCTATAGCTCGCTGCAAGAGAAAAAGGTTTCTCAAGATTCATATCCTGATCATTCTTATTCAATAAGACTCAAAACCCCAATCTCCAAAGCAGCAAATGAAGTAGCTAGAACAAGCCATAGGGTAGAGAGAAAAATGAGATACATACTTCTAGAGCAAGAGCTCTGTCTTGTATTCGCTGCCGAAGTTTCTCAAGCAACATTTCATTTGCTTCGACAGTTTTGTCTGAGTTATCGCGATACTGCAGGAGTTCCTGAAGTTCCTAAGGAGACCAAAACATTTTCTAATTTATTCATTTATCCATTATTAACTGAATTCCTATTGTTTGCCAAGTAATCTGTCAGTTATTCAAGACGACAAAGAAAATGTGAATCCAGCCTGGTGGTGCAGTCGGTGGCAAACTCCAACTGCAATAACTTATCCCAGGTCAGCCTGTAATCATTCCAGGTACACGTGTGCACATGCCCAGAATGCTGATGAACTGGAGGGCTGAGTAAAGTGGTGTGACGACACCCGGCAAGAGTGCTCTCTGTCTCTGTCTCTCTCACTCTCTCACACATACACATACATGCACACAAAAACGCTATCACAGATAAAATACACTTAAAAAAATAAAACAGTATGGGCTAGCCTGTGGCTTGGTGGGTAAGGCAGCCAGATCCCATATGGCTGACCCTGTAGTTCAAGTCCTAGACCCAGTGGCTTGAGAATCACATAGGCATGTGTGCACATGTGCTCAAAATCTCAATGAGATAAAGAAATGAAGAAGGAGGAATTGTGGCATGACCATTCCCCATGTGGGGATGCTTTCTCCTCTCTTCTCTTTCATTCTCTCTGGTGAGGGCCCTCTAACAAATTTTAAAAAACAAAATACTACACAAAAAAATTGTCACTCTCCTCAGAGGTAACAAGTTTAACAGAAAACACACATGGAAAGTGTCAACTATTCTGCAACATACACATACATTTGCACATGTGTATAATTAGCTAGTAGAGGAACACAGAATGCACTACCCAATTCTGCCTGAAGGTGTCAGTAAAGACCAAAGGGTAACAGACTCGTGTCTTAAAAGCCTAGGTTTCATTAGGGAAGATTTGGTGGGAGGAAAACTGACCAAGCAAAAACGATGCACAATATATGTACACTGTGAAAAACTACTCACAGTAAAACAAGGTATTTAAGGGGACTGAAGCTTAAAGTAGGCAATAGGAATGAGCACTCTGTTTTTAGTGCCCCATTTCCCCCTAAAACTTTCATCTTTTATCTAAATTTCTCTTTAGAAGTTTTTGTACAGAGCTCTTCAGCTACTAGACTAGAAGCAACAGCCAACTCTCCTTGTCCACCTAAAATTTAGCAAGTGGATTAACATGTCAAGATTATATGAGCAGGAATTTCAGAGAGTTCTGAGCCTAGTTTTCACTGAAATCTTATAAAAAACTCACCTGAAGCAGTTGCTCTTTGTGACTCAGACTATGATTTAGGTGCTGAATATTTTGCTCCTGGGTCCGAATCTCATTGTATTTTTCAGCCTCCAGGGTATGAAGCTGTTGGTTTTTATTCTGCAATTCTCCTTGTAACTGCTGCAAGGCTTTTCGCAATTCCTAAATTAAACACATTCCTTTCTTTAAGTAACCTAAAATTTTCACATGGTTATATGACACAGAGGCCTAAAATCTTACAAGGTATACGGGGCTGGCAGGTAGCATGGTGGTTAAGGGTGCTGGACTCCCACATGGCCAACTGCAGTTCAAGCGCCGGACCTGACACTTTCCCTCTCTCTCTCTCTCTCTCTCTCTCTCTCTCTCTCTCTCTCTCTCACTGTCTCTCTCTAAATTAATTAGTTGATTAAATTTTTAAAAAATTCTTTTTTTCAAAGAATTATTTTATTTATATTTATTTATCCATTGTAATTTGACCAGAGAGGTGGGGAGAGAGAGAGAGAGAGAGGGAAAGTGAGAAAGCAAGACACTAGGCCCAGGACTCGAACTGCAGTCGGCCATGTGGGAGTCCAGCACCCTTAACCACCATGCCACCTGCTGACCCCTACCATCCTCTTCTCTAAAAAATTCACAGACATATCAATTATCTTTCTTAATTTGCCATATATAATATTTTTCTAATAATAAAATGAGTAATTTTATAATAATCCCAAAAATGAATGTTCTCATCATCAACTAAAACTTAAGAAAATGTTTCCTTTAAGTAAATAACAAAAGTTTGGGGCCAGCAGATGGCATAGTGGTTACATTGCTGGACTCCCACATGACTTGCAGTTCAAGTCCTTGATCTGGTGGCTTGAAAATCATGCTGGGTATGTGTGTCTAAGTGTCCAAGATCCTGGGGGGGGGATGGAGGAGAATGGACTGTAGTGTGGCCATCCCCCAGGGTGTGATTTCTCACTTTCCTTCTCACGTCTCTCTCTTTCTTTCTGTCTCTCTCCCTCCTGCAAGAGCACGTATCCCAAGGCAAAAACCTCTTAAAAAAAAAGTGAATAACTAAAAGTTCATCATTTCTACACATCCCTCCCTCACCCCACAACCATGCCAAGACATGTGAAATGTTAAAATCTCTAAAGGAAATTCAGGGGTAATCTTTCATCTCTAAAATAATAAATCAAGGAGATTCTTCATAAACTGTACTTGTAATTCTGAGTGTTAATGAGCATATGAGAGCACAAAAGATCTTTTCAATTTCAAAAAAAAAGTAAAAAGTATATGTTCTAAGCCAACAAGATAAAGGAGTCATTTAAGAAAATCTTCTACTTTCGGGGACCAGCAGATGGTGTGGTGGTTAAGGCACTGGACACTCCCACATGACTGACCACAGTTCAAGTCCTGGACTTTGTGGCTTGCTCTCTTTCTTTCTCTCTCTCTCTCTCTCACTCTCTCTCTCTCTCTCCAAATTTAAATAAAATAAAATAAAATAAATAATCCTTTAAAAAAAAGAAAAGATCTTTTACTTTCTAAAAATTACATGTCTAATTATGCATGCCATTCCTTTGATCTTGGTTGTTCTTCCTCACTTTTCAGTCTGGCTGACTTTTACTCATCCTTCAAGAATGACCTTCAATGTGTTTTCCTTCATGAAGCTTTCCCGAACTTCTTCCAGCCCCTCCTAGGTATCCCTATGGGACCCCATGCAGACCTCCTCTTCAGTATTTACCACACAAGTTCTGTTTATGTAACTGTCTCTCACACTAAATTATAAGGAGTTTAAGAGGAACAAGCCTGTGATATTTACTCATGTATTTCTAGAACACTGCCCAACATCTGGCATATGGTACAAGGGCAACAATGTGGAACTAAATTCCTCAGATTAAATGAGTGACTCAAAAGTTCAATAAAAAGTAACTGTCTCTCACACTAAATTATAAGGAGTTTAAGAGGAACAAGCCTGTGATATTTACTCATGTATTTCTAGAACACTGCCCAACATCTGGCATATGGTACAAGGGCAACAATGTGGAACTAAATTCCTCAGATTAAATGAGTGACTCAAAAGTTCAATAAAAACTGATCTGCTAAAAAAAAAAAAAAAAAAAAATTATTACTAGGGCAAAGGCAGCATGTAGGGCTATAAATGGTTAATGATTACCTGGTTATGTTTCCAAGAAGCTTCTTTCTGCTGTTCTCTCTCCTGGGCAGTAGCCTCTACAAATTGCACACATCGTTTGGCATCAGCCAGTTGGCGTTCTTTCTGGCGTACCACCCTCTGGAGCTTCTGTATTTCAAGTTGGCTGCAGAATAAAGCACTCTGAAGATCAAGCAAAGCCACCTGTTGCTGAGCTGGGGACATACTATCTGAGCTCTGAAGAGAGAGGAGAAATCATTGTTACAAGGTGGACAAGCAACTGACCTGAGAAGTCTGTGAAGCCTAAATCAAGACTATAACCAAAAATGGCATATCCCACGGGAGCTCCCCTTCCTGTCCTGTGTGGCCCTCACATACGTGAAGCTGTCCAAGCTGGCTTTGGTGCAGCATCTCACGAAGCTTTGCCATCGTGTCATTTTGACCTTCGATCACCTGGTACAACTCTTCAGTCTGAAAACAAGAGAGGGGGAGCCAACCATGTTAGTAAATAAAATATAAACTCCACTCTCCCACCTGTACAGATTTCAGTCTCAGAACAATTTCAAAATACCAATTTAGTGAAGTCTCAATTTATTCAGGCTATGATTAGTTTCAGTCTGACAAATAAATAGACAATACTTGTCTACTCTGATGGGATAAATTGTTTCTTCACAAGTCCTTGCTTGCTAAATATTTTACCTCACTTTCCCTGCTTTTCAGAATTTCCTTGAGGCTTTGAATAGTGTCATCTTGTTTCTGAGAGGATTCCTGAGCAGTCTTTAGTTCACAGCTCATGTCATTAAGCTTCTCTTGAAGAATCTGAATTCGACAAAAACACAAAGCAAAATAACAGTTTGTTACATCAGCAATGTCTTTTCTGCTCAATAAACTCAACTGCAACCATAAAGTCTTTCCTCAAATCTAGAGTTTAAATGATTTCTTAGGAAATAATGTCTTGTTTCCCCGCACCCCCATGGTAACCAATGAAGTCCTTAGTCAATTAGTAAGAGAAAGTAGAAGGGAAGATGAAATACTTCTTTTAATACTCAAGTTCTCATATATTGTACTTTCTTTATGATGGCAGCCAACCAGGCACCTGCTCTCATGGGTCACGATGAATGCCTCACACAAGGACCAAGAAGCTACCACTGTCTCATATTGTAGAAGACACTACAAGGGCATGCAAGGCCAGAAGCTCAGCATCCCAGATTGTGGTTATTTTCTTCTAAGCAGACACCAAAATCTATGAGCTACAAAGAGATGAAAAATTAAGCTAAAATCAAAAGCACAATCCTCCAGTCTCAGTATCTTTTATAGTTATAGACTGCACATGAGTTTTAATCAAATGCCTAAGAGGCACCATAAATTGTGATCTGTGCCAAACAGGCTAAAATCCTGATGAGAAACAACAGGAAGATCTACACTGTCAAATGAAATATACCCTAGACCAGAAATACGAAGCTCTACTCAGGTTAACAGACTCTGGCTAAAGCCAGTGTTATTAGGAAATTTCTGTGCTCAATAGGGCAAAGAATATCGCCAGTACCCTGTTGGCCGCCTCTGCTTGCTGGATTTTTTCCTGGAGTTCTGCCACGCGGGCATCAGACACAGTGTGCTGAGTTAGAGTGGTCTCATCTGAATTCAGCTTCGGTTTTCTGAGGAACTCTTCAGTCTAGGAAAAAGCAGCAAGACAAGATGGTTGAATTAAACACAACAACAATAAGTTTTTTATTTTTATCTTCAAATGCCTGTGGCATTTTTTGCCCCAAATCTGGAAAACCAGAGTTGTCACATGAATTATCAGCACTTATTCACCTCCATCCTTAGCATGCACCCCAGCTCTCCTCCCCACTTTTCCCTACCAGCTCACATACACACACACACACACACACACACACACTACACATTCGGCTAAAGTCAACAGTGCAGGGTGTAAGACAGGGAGGGAGTGATGGTCAAATATTTGCTTTATCCTTTTTTAACCAGGAATTGAAAAGGCATACTGATCAAACTTATGCCATTGCTAGGAGAGGAAAAGTTACATTTCAATTAACTTACTAGATGCAGTAAGTTTCTCGTATGCAGTATTGGGAAAACTGGCAGATGTTTAATATGGGCTATAAATTAGGAAACAGAATTTGGTCAATATTAAACTTCCTAAATTTGGCAATTGAACTGTAGTTTCATAAGAGAGGTCCTTGTCTTTACGAAATGCACGCTGACATATTTAGAGTAGAGGGCCATAATATCTACAACTAACTTTTAAATACTTCAGGGACTAATTTTTAAAATAACATTCGTGTGCCTACACAGAGAATGGGAGTGACAAAGAAAATATGGCAAAATATTAGCAACTGCTAAGTATAGGTAAGAAGCATTGGGGTCGTTTTTACTTCTCTTACAACTCCTCTGTATGCTTGATATTATTTCAAAATTCTAAAAAGTAAATACATTTCAAGGTTGATTTATGGCACATGTCTGAATAAATTCATAGTCAGCTGGGAAGGAGGTATGTTTTATAGAAATTTCAATTCATTCAAAAGATTCAGGAAAAAAAATAAGAACATTGTTTATATAGGAAATACTGACCAGACTAAGATAAACTTATTGAACTATATCTAATAGTCATTATGAGCTAAGGATGTTATAGCATTAAATTGCATCTCCTCCTTCCACACTTCCTTTTACTTTGATTAGGAATATAAATCCATTAGGAAGGAAAAAAAAGTAACTCTTACTCATCTTTCCCCCCTTCACACTTTCAGACTTAGATTACCATCTTCTACGGAGTTGTGTTACAGCTTACTTTAAATTCCTTTCTGCGGGACCAGCAGTTAGCGTAAAGGCTATGTCTCTGGACTCCCACGTAGTCGACCACGGTTCAAGTCCCGGACCTGGTGGCTTAAACTCACGCTGGGTGCATGTGCGTGTGTGCCCAAGATCCCAAGAGGAGAATGGAGGAGAAGGGAATGCAGTGTGGCCATCCCCCCTGGGGGGTGATTTCTCGCTTTCTATCTCTCTGTCTCTCTCTTGTCTTTCTGGCAAGTGCATGCACCCTATAGCGAAAACCTCTCCAAAAAAAAGAAAAAAAAAAATCCCTTTCTGCAAGCAATTGATTGGAAGTAGAAAGATTTCAGAAGAAAAATCTTTTCTATTCCTCCAGAGCTATTTATCAACTTTTCTAACATCTATAAAGTGCACAAGTGAGACCCTGTGGGGAGTGGAATGCTGACTGACATGTGTGGGTCCTGACTCCAAACCATCACTGAGGAGGAAGTCACTTCGTGAAAAGAGGAAGAAAAACATTCATTACGGACATAGGAAAAGTTTCATGGAGGAGGCAAAAATCTAACCTGGACCTAAAAAGAGGGCTAGAGTCTTCCCAGGTGGCTACAAGGAATGGCATTCTAGATAGAGCGAACACCACGGGAAGTGTGGGGCTGATGCGGACTTCAGATACCATCACCTTTGTCAGCAGAGCGACTGTGTAATTCATCACTCACATCACCCACCTTTAAGAGCTGGAAGGATACAATTAATCATTACCTCAGGACAACAGGTATAACCTGGGACTATCCAAGGCAAACTTAGATATTTCAACCTATTTATGAAGATTTTGAAGATAAATGGTCATTTCTGAACAGCTAGTAAAGCCAATATTTTTCCTACTATATTATTTGGTTAACTCGAAACCTCAAAATTCTGGGATTAGCAGGTGGCATGGTGGTTAAGGCACTTGACACCCACGTGGCCAACCAGAGTTTGAGTCCTGGACCTGGTGGCTTGAAAATCATGCCAGGCGCATGTACATGTATTCCCAAAACCGCAAGAAAAGAATGGAGAAGAAAGGACTACAGTGTGTCCATCTCCCTTGGGGGATGATCCCACTTTCCCTCTCTGTCTCTCTCCAGCAAGCACAGGCATCCTATGGCAAAAAAAAAAAAAAAAACTAATGAAAAAAAATCTCAGAATTTTAAAATCCATGGCATGGAGAGCAACTACAGATAGTAGAGACGCTGTGGTAGGAGGGTGGATGGGGGAGGGGGGAAGCTTCAAGGGGAAAAAAGGAAAAAAGAAGCAAAACATTTACTGAACACAAAAATGAAAATTATCTGCTGATGATAATATACATGGTAAGCTCTTTAACTCAACTAATATACAGTGTATTCATGCTGGGAAAATCCATTTTGTATGCTGTAAAGATGTATAGTGATCGAATTTTTAAAAATAAACTTTATTTTTTAATTTGAGGAATAAAATTCTACAAGGCAAAAATATCAAAGTGGAATCAAGAAACACTCTCAATGATAAGAAAGATTCTGACAAGTTAGGGAGAGCATCTCATAAAAGAATCTAGAATTTTGATATCCTCCTCTAGAGGCTGGGCCCCACTGCTTACTTAGACAGAAATGAGAGTGAAACTGACCCACTGGACTTCCTTAACCCTAATGTTAATATCAATTACCAGTATAGCATCTATCAACTTCATTCACTCACTCACTGTCTGTCTGTTGAGTTCTAACTATGTGCTAGGCAGTATTCCGAAGAAAAAGTCCCTACTGTCTTTTTTTTTTTTTTACTATAGGGCACAGGCGCTCGCCAGACAGACAGAAAGAGACATAGAGACAGAAAGCGAGAAATCACCCCCAGGGGGGGATGGCCACGCCACAATCCCTTCTCCTCCATTCTCCTCTCGGGATCTTGGGCACGCATGCACACGCGCCCGGCGTGAGTTTTAAGTCACCGGGTCCGGGATGTGAACCGTGGTCGACTACATGGGAGTCCAGCGACATAGCCATTATGCTAACTGCTGGTCCCAAAAGTCCCTACTGTCTTAAAACTTGTATTTTGCAGGGATAAAGGGGGGGTTGTAGATAACAAAAAAAAAAACAAAGAAATAGACAACATACCAGATAGTGACAAGCCCTAGTAAAATGAGAAAGCATGATAAAGTATTGGTGCTTAAGTTACTCAAAATTAGTTCATCAGAAGAAGATGCTCATGAGGCAGCATGTAAATGTAAAGCTCAATGAAAAGCAACCAGTCTTAGAAAGATCAACAGAAGTACAATCCAGGGGGAGGGAACAGCTAATAGAAGTAGGAGCACAAGAAACAGAAAGGCTTATATAGCTAATACGGCACTTTCCAGTAGAAATATATGATGAACAATATATATAATTTTTTATTTTCAGGTATCTTCATTGAATAAAGCAAAAAATAAATAGGTGATCTTAATTTTTAATAACATTTTATTCAATCCAATCTATCTAAAATACTATCATAAACACATAATCAATATAAAAACCATTGATAAGATAGTTTTCACACTAGGTCTTTGAAATCAGAGGTCTATTTTACTCTCCCAGCACTTCTCAGTTCTGACAACCTGCATTTCAAGGGCTTGGCAAGGCTAGCAGCTATCTCTAGATAGCACAGGGCTAGCACATATGGGCAAAGGGGGCGAGGACATGTAATTAGGTGGAAAGGTAGGCAGAAGCCACATCATGACTAAATTCTGTACAGTGAAATTAATATATTCATTCTAAGTGAATTGAGAATGGACTGCAGTGTTTTAAACAGAACAGTAATCATATTAAGTTTTCAAAAGATTACTCCAGCAGCTCTGTGGTGAATAGAATGCTGGGAAGTGACCAGCAGAGGCAGAAAGACAGTGAGGGGTGGCTGCAGTGGTGTACCTGAAAGCTAATACAGTAGGGGGACGGATGGCAGTGGTCATAATAGGAAGGGAAATACCGGATGGATTTAGATGTTTTGAAAGTACAGTTAACAGGACATGCTGATGGACTGATGGTGGAAGAAGGAGCAGAACAAAGGAGGATAATGACCCCTTGATGGTACAGGGGTAAAACACAATGCTCTACAAAGCAATCCTACTGGAGAAGGTTCCTGGTTCAAATCTGGAGACCTCCTCAAGTACATCTAGTAAATGATGTGCAACATACAGGGCTGACTGAAAGCTGGGAGGAGACTGCGACCTTAAGACTCTGCTAGGGGTGCTGTCTGTCTGTCTGTCTGTCTCTCTCGGAGGAAATAAATAATCTTTAAAAAATAATAATATAAATGACTCCTGGAGACTCTATTTGAGATACTGGTTGTTATAAGAAACCATCCCCTGAAGCAATGTAAATTATGTCACACTATGGGAAAAGTAATTATTTATATATAATTTTTTAATATTTATAACAATTCTTTTTTTTTGAGAACTATTTTTGCTACAAGGAACATACACTTTGCTATAAGGAACATACACAGAAAGTAAGAAATCACCCCCAGGGGGTATGGACGCACCACAATCCCTTCTCCTTCATTCTCCTCTCAGGATCTTGTGCACACATGCACACACACCTAGTGTGTTTAAAGCTGCTGGGTCCAGGATTCGAACTGCAGTCAACTACACGGGAGTCTAGTGATGTAACCATTATGTGATCTGCTAGTCACAATATTTATAACAATTATGATAAAAACATTTACCAGGTACTTAATGACAAAAACAGTCTCTATAAACATGGCTTTTTATTTCCTCAGGGTAAAACAATTTTCCAATAGCATCTACTCTAGGTAGAATATTTTTAAATGTAAACTATAACAGAATTAAAGACAACAGCTTCAGGTTTTAAATGGCAAGGAAGATGGTCATATTTATTGACTTTAAACCCAAAGAAGCTTAGAGCTACAAAGGAAACTTTAGAAACCTAACCATCTGGTCCAAACCTATTTTAAATATGAGGAAATGGAAACTCAGAGAAGGTAATTTGTCCAAGGTTACATAAGAAATCAGGAAAAGGAGCCAATTAAACTTAATTCAATCAAGATGGTAATGTGCTTGGAGTACTGTAGGGATCAAAAGTTTGTTTAATGAAAAAGAACGATGAAAACGAAAACAGGCCTGTCTCCTAATTCCCTGTGTGACATTCTCATTTTCCAGTGGCTTTCTTGAAAACAAGACTATGTGGTCGCGTGTCTCTTAATGATGAGGATACATTCTAAGAAATGTGTCATTAGGTGATTTTTTCACTGTGCCATCATACAGTGTACTTACACAAATCCAAGATGGTATAGCCTAGCACACACCGAGGCTATATGGTACGTGACCACCATGGTGTAGGTCCGTCACTGACCAAAACAGCACACCTATTACTCTATATAGACTTCAACGGCAACTTGAAAGTCAGGAACGCCACAGGAAATGAGGTAATGAGTCTAGACCACAACTCTATGTTGGCATGAATCATCGTGGGAAATCCCTAATTCTACAAATGTAATGTACTGACCTAAAAACTGGAAGATGTGTGTTTCTTCTTTGTTCAAAATAATTTATTATCTTACATCTCAGGGGAAAAGTCCCTTAAAGATAACGGTCTGCCAAAAGAGCACTTAGCAAGTTCCACTGAGTCAACAATTCATAATGAATTCTTGCGAAGTATAAAGATCACTCCTTTGAAAATGTTGTAGAGCCTGAAATAGTAACACTTGATTTGGTAGAATCTGTTTTACTCTCCAAACGATCAGCTACTAAAATTATGTTATAATAATAATAATTTAAAACTAAGTCATTTTTTACCTAGAATTAGGACAGTTTCCATCATCAAAAAAAAAAAAATGCTTCTCAGCCTAAGGGTGCATAATATAACACAGATTTTAGGCTAAAAGGCATTATTTAGATCCAGATTAACAGCACTTTTCTTCCAGTCCTCACAACGGTGACTCACAAATATCAAACTGCTGTAATTTTCTATCCTATTGTTAATAATAGGACACAGACAAGAATCATCGACTAGCATAAAATTAAAGGCCTAATCTCTGATCAGCATCTAATGCATACACCTTCTACAGGACCTGATCTGCATATAAGATGAAGCTATGAGTGAGATAAACTGATTAGTTACACAGGAGTAGACCTGGGCATTGCAAGGCTTGAAGCAAAGATCTGCTCTTTGAATTTTGGCAGAAAGAGAAATTGCACATGAGCCAGAGATCTCTGAATTGTTTACTAAGAGGCCACACCCTTCTTAGGTTAGCATTTCTAGGTATCTCTAGACAATAAAGGAAATCACCAGCTATTGCAGAATAAGCCTTCAAATCTTTTAGATCAGAACAGCCTTGAGTCCTCAGCCTTAAATTATGTGGAAGGCAAATAAATCACCCTGCACAATATCATAAAGTCAGTAAGCAGAACTACATTGTCATTGTTTTTAATATAAGAAAGGAGGAAAGCAAAAAGAAAAAAAATCAAGAGGAACTGATTTTGATATTTAATAGTACACACAATGGGGTAACTGAAGGATTAAACAAAGGAATCAAGTGGCCTTATAGAACAACCTTGCTCTTTAGGATAACTGCTTTTCTTCATAATTGTAGTAGAATTTAACTAAAGAATTTTTTTTTTTTTTTTACTTCCTGGATTCTTGATTCTACAAACTAAAAGGGAATTAACAAAAATAATTTGCATTATCTCTATTCTCTCCACATTTGTTCAAAGAAATAGACAAAAACCAGTCTGCCTTTGTCCCACCTAGCTCTGGTTTTGCCATGAGCACAGCAGCCATGAAGGAGCTGAAATGTCTTAAACAATCGATCAGGTGTCCAAAATACACATTTTATTTACAAATACTCTGAGCCCAATTTATC